AACACAACTCTTTACAGACCTTGATAGAGCAATTCTCAGCTTCTTATAGAAAAATAAAAAAATCCAGAATAGCTAAAACAATCCTGAATAAAAGAATTTCCAGAGGTATCACTATTCATGACCTCAAGCCCTGCAGAGCAATAATCATAAAACCTGCATGGTATTGGTATAGGACCACACAGGTTGATTAATGGAATCGAATTGAAGATGCTGAAAGAAACCCACACACTTGTGGATACATGGATTTATTTATTTATTTATTTATTTATTTATTTATTTATTACAAAGATGGTAAAACCATACAATGGAAAAAAGAAAACATCTTCAACAAATGGTGCTGGTCTAACTGAATGTCTTCATGTAGAAGAAGGCAAATACATCTTTATCTATCACCTCGTACAAAACTGAAGTCCAAGTGAATCAAAAACCTCAACATAAATCCAGATAAACTACATCTAATAGAACAGAAAATGGGGAATATCTTTTAAGTCATTGGTACAGGAGAAAATTTCCTTAACAGAATACCAATGGCTCTGGATCTAAGACCAACACATGATAAATATGAGACTTCATGAAACTGCAAAGCTTTTGTAATGCAAAACCAATGTCAATAGGACAAAAGGGCAGCCAAGAGATTGTGAAAGGATCTTCACCAACCCTACATAATATCCAAAATTTATAAAGAACTCAAGAAGTTAGACATCAACAACCCAAATCATCCAATTAAAAAATTGGTTCTAGAACTAAACAGAGTTTCAATAGAGGAATCTTGAACGACTGAGAAGCACTTAAAGAAAGCTTCAAAATCCTTAGTCATCAGGGAAATGCAAATCAAAACGACTCTTGGGTTCTATCTTACACCCATCAGAATGGCTAGGATAAAATACTCAAGAGATAGCACATGATGTCAAGGATGCCGAGCGATCGGATCAGTTCTTCGTTGCTGGTTCTAGTGCAAAACTGTAAAACCACTTTGGAAATCAATTTGGCATTTTCCAGAAAATGGAATAGTTCTACCTGAAGACCCAGCTATACTACTCCTGGGAATATACCCAAAAGATGCTCCACCATATCATAAAGACGCTTAGCTATGTTCATAGCATTTTTATTTGTAATAGCCATAAACTGGAAACAAACTAAATGTCCCTCAACTGAAGAATGGATAAAGAAATATGGTACATCTACACAATGGGCTAATATTAAGCTATTAAAAACAAAGACTTCATGTATTTTGCAGGGACTGGATGGAACTTGAGACTATCATCCTGAGTGAGGTAACTCAGTCCCCAAGGACATACACAGTATGTACTAACATATAAGTGGATATTAGCCATAAAATCCAGGATCTCACACTGCATTCCACAGACACAAAGATGCTAAAGAAGGAGGGAGGCCCAAGTGAAGACGCTTGAACCTCACTTAGAAGCAGAAATAAAGTAGTTGTAGGAGGCAGTTGGTGCCAGGGAACTGGATGCGAGAGTTGATGAGGAGTGGAATGGAGTGTTCAGGATCGGGATAGATGGCTAGATGTCTATACTAATAAATTCAAATATACAACTGGTGTCGGTGGGGAGGTACGAGCCATGTAGAAGACATGCTGGAGACCTAGGATAGGAGAGGTGTCCAGGAATCAATGTGGGTGATCGTACTGAGATTCACAGCATTGGTGATATGGAACCCGAAGAGTCTGCCTGTAGTCAGGCAGGAACTTCAGTGCAGCAAAAGGGACACCAACCCATCCACAAAGCTTTCGACCCTAAATTTATCCTGGATACAAGTAGATACAGGGATCTGAGAGAGCAGAGACTGAGGGAACGGCCAAACAATAACGGTGGAAGGGAGTGATGGAGAGGGATGAATAATATTTAAAAAAATAGAAAAATGTTGAGGTCATCTTTTGTTATATATTGTTGATAAATACTGGCCCCCTAGGCCTGGTTGCTCCCAGGAAGGAGAGAATCTGCATGTACTATGTGACTTTGCACCTTAATTTAGAACTATTGTTAGATAATGATGCTGATAGCCAATAGTTGGGCAGAAGAGACACAGTGCAAGGTTGGGATTCCCAGGCTTGGGGTAGGAGGAGAACCACCAGGTAGAGAGGAAAGTGGAGATAGGAGAAGACGACATGGGGTAAAAATCTTAAAATCATGGCCGTGAAGGCTGAGCAATTAGAATTAAGAGCATCCCACATGGAACATAGTAACTAATAACTTGGGATTACTGAGAAGAGTAGACTGTAATAGCATAGAGGGCAGACATCTGCCCGAACTCCAGTACCGATTAAGGCTTTATATACGGCCACTTGTATTGTTTATTCAGGAATTGAATAATCAAATTTGGGTAGAAGCCCCTGATTGAGATTAAATATTTCTACAGCAGCAAAAAGAAACTTTCTAATGCCCATATGATAGTATGGTACTCTTTGAAAAGAAATAAAACATTTCTATGAAGCTAGAAACTTCTAAATGAAATTATTAGTTTTTCATTTACTTAAGCAAAAGCATTTGATATGCTGAATCAAATGTAGCTGATTTAGTTTGTATTGTTAAATATATATATATATATATATATACATATATATTTAAATTTATAGTTTTTGGCTGTATATATATGGTTAGCAACAATGGTAAACTTTGCTGTTGTATTGTAAAAAAAGGGATTATTTAAGGTTGAAGACTTTCATGATAATTAAATGGTAAAAAAGGAAGAAACAGAGGCTGGAGAGATGATTTTGTGGTTAAGAGTACTTGCTGTTTTTCCATATGACCCAGTTTGATTCCCAGTGCCCACACAGCAGTCAACACCTTCTATAAAAGCAGTTTCAGAGGATTTAATGCACTCTTTTGGCCTCAGATGGCACCGCATTAAACAATGTAACTCACAGAAATGTTGCAAGATTCAGTTACTAAGATTCTTGTAAACTCTGACAAATAGCAACATGCAGTGAAGACCAGAGCTTTTCTTTATGATACTGAGAAATGTACAATTTGGTAATTTATGCTCAAAATTTATATTATAAATTCAAAATTTAATATAGTAATATATCTACCACTTGTCTATTAATAAAGTTTACTCTTTACAGTTAGACTGCAAATTTTAAATAGAAAATTAATGACTGTCTTATTGGGACTTTATTTAACAGGATTACAATAGTCTTATAAAGTGAGTATAGAAGTATTTATATTTTTATATTTTAGAAATGTTCTGGGATAATTGCTACTGAATATTCTTTGAATACTGGCAGGCTACGTCTATGAAGGCACAGGCTAGTAGGCCTTTCTATGGGATTTTTTGATTGAAATTCATTTATTTGTCTACATTTACAACTTCATTTTGATTATTATTTGACAGTTTCATATACCTCTCTCCTCCAATCTGTTATACAACATTGTTCATAATGGCTCATGATCATTTTTTGCTTCTGAGACATCTGTTCATCTCTTATCTCATTTGTGTCTTATTTCCTATGTTAGATAGGAGTTTATTTTTTCAAAGAAACTTTTTACATGCTGACTTTTGTTATCTATATGGATGATTTTTGATCTGATATCTATATTTTCTTCTTTATGATAATTTTGAGATTAATTTGTACTATTTATTTTTCTGAATCATTGAGAGATAAATTGATGCTTTTCTCACTTTTTTCTATATTTTTTTAATTGGTGACAATTATCTGTGTGAAATTTCCCTTTACTGTTCTTTTAAATCTACCAGGTCTGATTTAAAATGTTCTCATTTTAATTTTTCTCAAACTATCTTATAAAAATAAAATAAAATTATAAAATAAAATAAAATACATTTTATTTCCTCATTCAGTCATTGTTGAAGAGAAGTTTGTTCAGTTTTGATCGATTTGTGGGTTTACCAGAGTGCTTCTTGTTATCGGTTACTGTCACATTTTATTACACCATGTTCAGCAAAGATACTTCAGAATACCAATTCACTTGTTTAATGAATATCGGTGAAAAGATCCTCCAAAAGTTATCAGAATATTCCAGCGGAGGCCCATGTCTTCATTCTACACTGGAATCATGTAACTGAACCCTAATGTCAAAGAACAAATGCAGCAGTAGCAAGGATGAGACAGATGAACTTGCCAGCAAGAATAAGTAATGGCAAGCAGGCAAAACTAAAGCTTTCTGTTAGATTTTATCTGGGCTACCCACAATTTAGAGTGGCTCTTCTTATTCAAATTATCTGACCAAGAAAATCCCTCACAGGAATGCTAAGCAATTTGCCTTTAATTGATTCCAGTTCTCATACAATTCTTGTTTACAGTCTCTTTATAGTTTCTTTCTCCAAATTCCTTCTTTTACTTATTATTAATGAAGTTAGCATCAATAATTTTATTTAAATCTAAATACTTTTATTTCCTGTGTCAGTAAGTTTATGTTAACTCAACAGAAACCTAGACATCACTGAGAAGAGGGAAGGTTAGCTAAGAAAATGTCTCCGTAACATAATCTGTAGTGAATGAAGTCTTGATTAATACTTGGTATGGATGGACCCCGTGGATCACTGTGGATAGTATTAATAATAGGCACGTGGTCCTTGTCTGGATAAGAAAATAGGTTAAGCAAGCCACAAGGAGTGAGTCAGTGAGAAACATTTCTTCATGGATTTGTTGCAGTTTCTATCTCCTGGTTCCTGTCCCTAACTTCCTTCTATGATGGATTGTTATCTGGGAGTTTATAAGCTATAATAATTATTTTCCATCCTAAGTTGTTTTTGGTTATAATGTTTATCCCGATAGAAACCTAGCTAGGGCGTTATCTTCATTTCTTTTCTAACTTTCTGGTGATAAAGATAGAAGTTTGCAAATAAGACTTCATAGGTGATGAACTGTATAAGTTGTTCTGAACGTGCCTTGAATAGTCTTTTTCATAATTGTGTTGTATAACTCATATTTGTTTTGTCATCCACATGCTAAACATTACGATACATCTTCTAAGATTTAAACAGGAACAACCCATTTACTATAATAATTGGATGATATGTTCTACTTTAAATATCATTTTATTTTATAGAGAATCACAATTTTATCACGTGGAGAAGCTTCAGGACTTATCCGGGTGAGGTGGTGAGGAGGATTTAGGAATACTGCCGCTTGATCGGGAGAACACCTTTGATAGAGTTGAAGATACCTTTGCCAGCACTTTAGACCCTTGTTTGGAAATACTGCTCCTGGGCACATCTGTGGGAAAAGATATTAGTAAAAGCAGTTACATTACAATAGTAATTTAGAATTCAGAAATTGGCTTTTGTAAAATAATCTGTGAAAGACAAAGCACAGCTGGCATGTTTTCATTTGATTTACTATGGCCTCCTGAAGGAATTTTGCACAGCAATGTCTTCATTGGCTGATCAACTTTTGTGAGGTCAAAGACCTTGCCCTAGGATCGATCACACAGGTAAAATGAGTGTAAGCACGCAATACAGTGCAATGATTTTTATCTTTCAGGGTGTAGTAACCTGAGGCATCTCTAGGTAGGTGTGCGAAATCCACCTCTTATCCCTCCTGAAAACTATTTGAAAATACCTAATGACCTGAACAGGGAGATACATCTCAATGCTCTGTATATGAATTCTAGTTTATAGTTCTCAAGTAAAAGCAGAAATATACTAAAGTGCTGTCGTTTCTCTCCTATTTTGCAAAAGTTTCCTTTTGAAAGTTCATAGGTATATTTCTTTGTCTTGTAAGATACACTGCATTGAAAATGAAAATGTCAGTATTCAGATTTAGTTTTTGGTGTCAGCTATTAATAACTTGAGTTTGTAAGAAAATGTATTAATTTATGATTGATAACTCATAATGTTTTACTAACTTCACTATCTATAACTTTCCAAAGTTAGGAATCTTTCACTACTCATATTTAATTTCTCATTTAAAAAGGTAAGCTCTGAAAAGGCTGCTAAGAATCTAGCATATCTCAATGGCCAATGCCTCATGGTAGCTCCACTGGGCCACTCACTACATCTTTATTACATCATCCACCTTGCTCTGGAAGCAATACATTCATATGAACAGTGTTGCTGCTGAATGACTGTAGCCACCTTCCTCCTAAAAAAAAATTCACAGGGCTCTTTGTAGCACAGCAGCTATATAACTTTCGAGAACTTGTTATAGTTTTTCTCCTCAATTATTTCTACTTACTCTTTCATAGTCTGTGAATAGTTATGGCTTAAAAAATGTTAGTCATACCATCTGTCGTCCCTTGATGTCTAAAGTTAAAAGACAATTTATGTAGTAACCTGTAGATGTCTATACAAATAGTATGGATATTATTCCAATTCCATATTAAAAATAAGGAAGGAAAAGATCATTCATGTTGTAAAGATCAATGATAAAACTTTTTGATTCACAATAATATTAAGAAGCGCTTTATTTCACTGATGGTTAAAAGTTTAGAGCATTTCATACCTGAAACATGTTCCTTTGAAAGACGTGCACTGCTGGCCATATGTTTTGATCCTTCATAGATGGTGACAAACTGCCAAAACACAGTGACATCCTTAGTCTTCAGACAGGAAAGATTACATATACCAAGAAATATCTAAAGATGTATCAATATTGCACCATTTTATACAAGTGAAATCTGTCTTTTTCCACATCACATAAGCCTCCTCTGTGACCCAGGAAAGTGAATTTTGTCAGTTAGCATTTGTCCATGTGATGAATTTTGACCTTGGCTATAAGCCACATGACAACCAAAGGCTGATCTCTATTGACTCTTGGGAAATATTAGTTGCTTATTGACTGCCTACTTTGCATTCAGTACAATAAATTGAAAACATGTTTCTGAGAAAAGATAAAACGATAAGGGAAAAGCCAAAATGCTTCACTTCACAACTCTTAGGTTTCTCTGTGGAGAGTTTAGCAATTTATAGGTTATGAAGTGCTAGAGTCACTTGTTGTTTTGCCATTACCAGGAGGATGCCAGATACCTGCTTTATTCTGGAGACTTGTGTCATTTCTTTGAATAAAAGAGCAGTTAACTTTTCCTAAAAGGCAAGATGCAGCCATTGCCAAATTTAAATTTTCAAAATCTTTTCTCAATATAATTTGAAGTACTCAAGAGAAACTTCAGACAGACATGTAAGTACTGCTTTTATTAAGTCTGTATATATAATTTCTCTCAGCCTTTGACTCTTAACAGAATTTCTGCATTTTAATCATCTGGTTATATAACATTCTAGGGGTCTGGTCTCCTTATATGTCATGTTTCATACTCCTTAGGATTTCACCCACCTCTATTTTTCCAGACAATAAACAAAGCACAGAAACAAAACCAAACCAACAGGTCCACCTCATACTTTAGACCAGCTTGGAAGAGTACACATGGGGGGAACCTACGGCTCCAGCTAAATATGTAGCAGAGGATGGCATTGTCAGCATAAATGGGAGGAAAGGCCCTTAGTCCTGTGAAGGCTTGATGCCCCAGTGTAGGGGAATACCATGGTGGGAGGTGTGAGTGGGTGGGTAGGGAGCACCCTCATAGAGGTGGGGGAAGGGAGGGGGAGGGTATAAGGATCTTGTGGAGGGGAAACTGGGAAGGGGAATAACATTGAAATGTAAATTAATAAAATAACCAATAAAAATGAAAACAAAAGCAAAAAAAATTATTTCAGAAATTGAGATGCCATCTCAAAGCAAGGAGGGCAGCAGAGAACAGCCCATTTCCTACTGCCCATGAGTTTAAATATCAAGACCTTCTAAGCAAACTTCATCCTATCTTTTCTTACATTTCTTAGCCTAAATATATCTACTATTTATTTTCAGATCCTGAATATTGTCAACAATTTTCAGGTGTTGTCAACTGTTGAAATGTGTATATGATGACAGCTTATGCAACTTTATTTTGAAATGCACTGAGTAACAATTTTAGCCATATTTTGGGTATTAAAGAGAAAGTAAAAGAGCAGAGGGGTGTAGACTAGTTAGGAATTTAGTATTATCCAAAGAATGATAATGCCACCCAAACTAGAACTTCATGGCCCCACTTCCATTAATATATGATTTTAGTTTCTGAAAGGTATGAATTAAATGCAGTTGGATATTGTTAAATAGATGCTCATGTTCATAAACAAAGATTAGTTTGAGTACAGAAGCAACTAGTATCTTTGAAAAATTGGCAACAGTTTCTTGAGTGTTATAGAGTTTATATATCATGAATTGGATCTGAAATTGAACTATTTTGTATAATACTGGAAAACTGTTGAGTCACTGGTGAATTTGTTGTTCTCTATTAATGGATGTGGGGGAAATTACAAAACTGAATTAAATAAACTGAGAAGACACTGTAAAAAAGAACAAAACAGAAGACACAGCTGGATTTATTAAATTAAAAAGGTTGCGGAATATTGCTGGTATAACAGCTTTAATTACATCAATTACTAGCACCGGTACTTCTGCAATTACTGTGACACAAGAAGTTAAGACAGGTACTTTTGCTAATCATTTAGCAAAAAATGTTACTATACTAATGTGTTGAATATAAAAGAGGATTTTAGATAGGCATTTGGAAGAATGGATTGATGCTCTTTATCCTATTCAAATTATTGGAAGGAGGTTCAGAATTTAAGGATAAGGAGCCATCTCAAGTGTAATGCCAAATACCATTGGATTCACGTTAGTTCTAAAATTTAGAGTGGTAGTCATTATAATTAGGAAGAAGTTTAAAGACACTTGAAGTGTATTTGGTATAATTCTAACACTTCTCTGGATGTTTTAATGTTACATAGTGAGCTTATGAATTTAAAGAATGCTGCTCTGCTGAGCATTGATGCAGTAGATATTGATGATAAAATTAATCATGGCCTGAGGTCAGTGATTTTATTTTGGTCAAGCTTCAAGAATGGCATATATAGCTTGATCATGCTAGCCCTTTTTGTCCTGGGAAAACTTTTATTCCTGCCCATCGTGTTAAAGCTTGTCTTTAACAACATCAACATATTGGTAGCCAAAGTACATGGCTTGAACCTGAAAATGGACTCCCAGACAGTTATTAACAGGCTGGCAAGCCAAGGACAGGTAAGAGCCTGCACAGAGCCCTACCAAGTGCATTGCTTTTGATAATGCATATTCCATTATGGGTAAGGAAGGGATTTTTGTCAGAATGACCTAAGATATGCTCAATCTTGTTAATGAAATAAAAAAGGGGGAGAGGTGGAGAGCTTTTGGGGCTGCTTGAGAGGAATCTGACATGAGTCAAGGACAACGAAATGGGCTGGTTGGCAGGAATATGACATAGGCCAAGGACAATGAAGCAGGCTTCAGGTAAGACTGTGACATTAAGCTAGAACAAAGAAGTAATTTCAGGTAGGAATCTAAATCTTAGGCTAGAACAAAGTAGTAATTTCCAGCAAGAATCTAAATATTAGGCTAGAATGAAGAAGTAAATTCAGAAAGGAATCTAAATTTTAGGTTAGAACAAGAAAGTAGGCTTCAGACATGAAAATGACTTTGGGCTAGGAAAGGGAAGTGGGCTCAGATATTTTGGACATCCTAATAAGCCCTTAGAAACAGTGATCATGGGAGTGTTCAGATAATTTTGTTTATTGCCCTGCTTGTTCTTTGACTATTTGTGTTTATTATCTTGCTTGTTCCTTGACTGTGCATGTATTGTATTGCTAGACCCTCAACCTAGAACTGACCTCAATACATGCATGTAATTAAAATGGTGTACAAGCAAAAAGGAGGAGGGGGGATGGGATAGGGATTTCTAGGGAGGGGAAATGGGGAAAGGGGATGACATCTAAAATGCAAATAAATAAAATTTCCCCCCCCCAAAACAAAACAATCAAAAACAAGCAAACAAAAAACCAAAAACACAAAAAACAAAACAACAACAATAACGACAAAAGATTGGGGAAGAGGAAAGTTCCTCAGCCCACACCATGTAGTAGTTAGCTTAATGTAAAGTCAGTTTGTAAAGAATACAGAAATGTAATGGAGCCAGGCATTCATCACTCTCTTGCCCATCGTTGAAATTACCCTGTGTGAGCCTTCTATATGTACGGCATCATCACTGGACCCTTAGCTCTAGACAGAATCAAGTAACTCTCATGTTTAGGCTTTTCTTCAGAAACCGAATGAACTATTAATGGAACTGAAGCTAGGTGCTGAGGATCAGCAGCTCACTGTCAAAGCCACTGAACTCTGATTCAACTCCCAGGCCAAAAACCTTCATAAAGGAGTTTTCTGATATTAAGGACAGTTCTCATTCAGATGAGATTGAGTGTAAAGGAATTGTGAATTGGCAGTGTTTCCTGATGTTCCTCAATAATGCCACTTGGTATCTGATAGAATTAGAAAATCAAGATATTTAACAACTGGACCCAGAGCACAGAAATTAGAAGATATTAAAAAAATATTTACCTCAATACTTTTCGAGTTTCCTTCTTGTGGTTCCTGACAACTTTCTGTAAAAGGCAGAAAAAATATTTTTCTTACAAATATACAGGTAAATATAGATACTCTTTTGAGAGCAGTATAGATTCTAGCAAAAAGAGTTAAGGCAATATTTCAAACAAATAAGAATGATTGAGATATCTGAAAAAAATAGTAACTTTATGATTGATTAATTATATTCCTTAAGAATTTGATTCTGCTTTGCATTGTATACAACTGAACTGAGTTTTGCTTTGAGATGATTGAAAATAGTTGAGTTTCATATGAAATCCATAATTGTAAACATCAGTTTATATCTCTCCAGTACATAGGCATTGGACTTCTAGGATCAGTTAAGAAGCTGCTTTGATTAAGGGGTATATAAAAGTTCTATTTATTTAAGCAGCTCAGCTATTCACAGTGGAAATTTTGTTTTATATTTTATGAAACTAGGAATAATTATGTTCAGCCTGACCTCTCCATTGAAATATTTCCTGAAAAATCCAGTTGCCCAAGTTATCTCAGCTTAACTATCTAATGGATACTCTAATCTCATAACTCAAACAGTTTTTAAGTTCTTCCTCCCTGTTCCTTTAGCTTCATTCATATCTTGTATTACTCAATGTTTTTAATTTCTATATGCTAATATACTGTTTTAGGCTTTAATGGAAATCAATTCAGCAAGTTTGCATTTGACAAAAAGCAGTCAAGATCAAACAATTAACATAAATGCTATTTAGACAACTGCGTGGGAAAAAAGGAAAGTAAAGACATGGCTTAGGTAATGCCAAAGAAGGGAATAAGTGTCATTTTTCTGGGGCTGTGATCAGAAGAGATTGCTCTGGGAAAGCTAGGTGGGAAAAGTCTAAAGAGAGGAAGAAGGAATAAGGCAGACTAAGGGGAAAGAATATTCCAGAAGTCTTGGCAAGAGAGAGGCCCTGTAGGATTGACAGACAGCAAGGGAGTTAGGAAGTAGAGTTTGCTTTTGTAGAGGAAGCCACAAGAGAAATGGAGGAAGAGATAAGAAAGGTAATTGGGCTCCTATGAGCTAATGATGGAGAATCTTGTAACCATTGGAATGTTTTGAAATTATGTCGGTAGTAAAATCGGAAGGAATTTTCCACCTGGATTTATCTGATGTTCTTATCATTGGACTCTTCATCTCAAGTTAACATGTAAATTCCATAAGTACAAAATTGGTCAATATTGTTCCCACGTGGGATATTATAACAAAATTAAAAAAACCAACAGTTTGATGAATCTTCAGTTGAACTAATGAAGAAATGACTTAGTGAAACTATCACTGAAGAATATTAGAAATACACATAATCCAAATATCAACGTAAGACAAAATAAAATAAGACATAAAATTTTAATCACAAGGTATGAGCCTCAGTTGGACCCTTAGACAATTGTTTTATACTACAGAATGAAAATAAAGAACAGAGCTAAGCAGTTCCATGATGGATCTTATAATCTATGATCCGTAACTCAGGAATCTCACTGCAGATGACCATCATATCTATAGACTTTGGTATGATAATGATGTTCAGACAGGATCATCGCTAAAAACAGTGAAAACAATTTCTATATCCAACTTGAGAGAGAGGTGTTTCTTGAATAGGTTGCAGAGCAGTAGTCAAGATAAACTTGTGGACTGAACTTCAAGGCCATGCTGTATAAAAATGACCCCTATACCTCTCATCTGTATTATCATCATTTCATCAGACTTATCTCTTGAGTTCTGAACAAATGTTGGACTAAAACATCCTAAAGATGTGGTTGGCAGTTCATAAAAGGTGATATTTAAAAAACCCAAAACAGTTCATGCTCGCCAGATTTTAATGTGACCAAATCAATTTGGTCTTTAAAAGGCCTTTTGCATCTTAGTTGGGGTAAGCTCTGATACAAAGGAAGTATAAGTTTTCAATGAGAAAAGTAAATCCAGTTATAGCCTAGATATAAGTTAGCATTTACACATACTTCTCTTTTTACAGGAATATGGTTAATATAAGTTTATATGCTTCATACAAATTTCATGTAAGACAAAAGTATTAAGCTTGTTTTAAGAGGTGGTTGAACTGATAATGATCACTTTCTAAAAGTAGCCAAGCCCAATGGAAAAAGAAACTAATATCACTTTCAATGTTGATAACTAACATTTTTCTACTGGGAAACAATTAAGTTATCAAAATACTCAACAAACTTTCTTGTTTATCAGTTTTTAAAAGTTAAAAAAATCCAACCTTCAAATTCATTAGCTTTTGGATCTGGTATAAATTCTTCTGCTTCACTAAAATAAAAAGAACAATTTTTAATGTGAATATTTAACAAATGAAGAAGCTACTAGTTAACAACAATCTGCCACTCTTCATATAGAAGCAAACTACAGATACTGGCTGCCAAAATTCAAAATGGAAGGAAGATGATTTATAAATTGATTTTCCCAATTTTAAATATATGACTAAATACACATAAAACTGAACACCTTAGAAAGTTGCAATGTACTGTTGTGTTGTTTCATGTCATTAGGAACATTTACATGGCTGTGCAAACATCACTATCTTCTACCTCCTGGCCATGTTCTGAGCTTAAACACTAACACCGATTTTTGTTGTTTTTTTTCCCCTCCATAAAATCATTATTTCACTTTGTGTCTTCAGGATTTTGAATAGTACAGATAAGTAGAGTCTTAATCATACTCTTCATTTTGTGACTTACGCTAATTAGTTCAATGCCATCCATGTTCATGAATAGCATAGTATGTGAGGATTTTCTTTAAATAGTAGATAATATTCTAATTAACACCTAATACAGCTTCTGCCTATGAATTCACCCAGTGATGAACATTGTAGGTTGTTTTTCTCATTGGTTTATTGTGAATCGCACTGTTAATGATACAGATTCACAAATACCTGTTGCGGTGCCTGCTTTCAGTTCTTTGAGGAATATTCTCAGAATTGCTGGGTCACCTGATAATTCTATGTTAACTTATTTAGGAAAGCTCCATACTGCTTTTCACAATGATTTCACAATTTTATAATTTTACCACCAGTGCATAAAGGTTTTGGTTTCTTCGCATCCCTCTTTCTTTCTATTTCCTTACTCTCTTATCTCCCCCCTTTCTCTTCAGCTAGTCTCATCAGTTCAAAACGGCATCTTCTGCGATTTCGATTTGCATTTCCTTAGTGATTAGTGATGTGGAGTACCTTTCATCTGCTTTTTCTATATCAATTTATAAAATTGTAATATTCAAATATTTTGCAATTTTTACTGTTTTGTTGTTTTTTTTTGAGGTGTGGGGAGTGGTTTGGATATTGACACCATATATATATATATGTGTGTGTGTGTGTGTGTGTGTGTATGTGTGTGTATGTGTGTGTATGTGTGTGTGTATGTGATGTGTATGTATATGTATATGTATATATATGTATATATATGTATATACACACATACATATGGACACACATTATATATACATATATGTATATATGTATATATAATGTGTGTGCATATGTGTGTATGTGTGTTTGCAATTTGCAGCTTTGTATTGATTTTTTTATTCTGATTTTGAATCAACCATTTTTGTCAGAACACAGTTTATTTCTTATGTTTTGTAGTTTATGTTTTCACTTTTGTAGGTTTTTATATTAATAATAGCTAGTCTGTATTGTTAAAATGAATCTGAGTGCTCCAACTAAACCTTTTTTCATGTCGACCAGATTTTTCTTGCAAGTCAGGGCTATATTTTATAACCTTTAGATTACTAAACAAAAGTGAGCAGGGATCTTTCTGTGCTGACAGTATACTTTCTATTACTGACCTATCAATATACTTCAGGTTTTAATAACGACTATAAACAACAATACTCTATCACATCAGCAAAGATCTGATTAAAGACATTTATACACTGGACTGCAAGTGTTGAAATGAGTGTGCAGAGACTAGGTAACTAGAAGTACATGATCACTGGCAAGAAGAAACCTAAGATGTACACTGGAGTCAAGGATGGAGAATCAGAGGTGAGGAGGTTTTCATCCTGGACACTTGGTCAACTACAGATTTACTAGCAACCCCATTTTTGCCATAAGCCCTGGTTTTCATTTCATGCTACTACATTTGCACTGCATTAAATTTTATGTACCCAGAAAGGAGGTCTTCTTGGTTGTATGATGATGTGCTCATAATTCTGTGTATGAAGTAATGTGTTGGTTCAGGAGCAAGGATTTCTTCTTTCTGTAATATTATAAATCAGGTATTAAAAACAACAGAACTCAATGTATACTTTCTCTCTCATTGGCATTTTTGCATTCCAATAAACATTTTAATGAAAAGAACATTTTAGAGAGTACTTAAAATATTCGTTAAAAATTAAAGTAAGCTTTTGTAGTAGTATAAGTTTTTGAATGGTTCCGTGAAGATAGTCTAAATTATGATACTTGGTTTTGAACACGGTTTAAACATAGACGTAGCATAGATATTGAAGAATGTAAAATTCAATTTTTAGACTTTAAAACATTTTAATTACAGTGTATTGCATTGAATAAAACAGCAGAGATGGAACTCTAGGCATCTCATAAGCTTGTTTGATCATACATTTTAACAGATACTCTGCTCTATGTGTTGGGAAACCATGTGCTTCTGATTTGACTGATATTACATGTGTTTATTTTCTGTGGTTTACTGCAGCTCTTGTGTTAGCCTAAACACAGAAGTACAAAAGCTCTGTTAGGATGTTTAATTAAGGCAATTGTCTCACTAGGAAATCCCACATCATATGATTTCCAAAAATACGATTAGTACAGACTTTAGGACAGGGTGAAACCAAAGGGACCATTGAGCTTCTTATCATCATTTGGCGGCTTGAATGCAGTAACATGGACTGTATCCCATCATAATTAAGAGGTTTTAAGGATGTTAAAAATGCTTTCAATAATCTGTTACATTTAGGTAGGATCTTGAAAACTATGTAAGAAAAGCATTCACCTTGTAAGATTTAGAAAGGTAGTGCATCTATTAAATGAAAATCCGAATGAAAACCTAGGTAATGATTTTCTTTTTCTTGTTATTTGTTTCCAGTGGTGTGGACTGGGGCCAGGTCTCAACAAATGCTATGCAGCAATCTGACTTTCCACAGATCATTTATAACTTCCTTTATTTGGATTTTTCCTATTGACATCAAGTTCTCTATGGATGTTCATCAAATATTTACAGCCCCAATACAAAATGGTATGTATTGTTTAATTAACAAATTAATAAGTTTGAATTTCCCTTTAAACAGTTTCCACTTTCCATTTTCCTTCAGCTAGTTGTTCTAGGTTTCTTTCTATCAAATACTTGAGTTTCATGTTCTGTTAATTATTTCACCTATACTATATATCCACAGGCTTATGTAGATAATGATTCTACTTTAAGATACTTTGCTGTGTAGTCAGGTGACATCCTCGTAATAGAATGCATGAGGTTGTTTACCTTCCCAGCTGCTGGGAGTTATTCATGTCACCTACCTTATATTGTAACTTGTCCCTAGAAGATGCTGCTTCTGCCAAGCTATTGGAAGTGGGCATGTCAAGCTCAGCAACAGCTCTTTTAACATGTGTCTTGTTAGCTTCCACTACCTGACTTCCAGTTGCTTCAATACTTTCAATATTTTCACCAGATGTGGGTTGGCAGCATTTGCTCAGTGCTAAGAACTTTTTCAAGCTGCTTGTGCTTGTTGTCATCTTGGGAGAAACAGCTTGGCTTTCTGCAGGCTTCACAGCTTGTTGAACACGACCTCTAGGTATTTTTCTTAGGCACTGGTCTCCAACAACTTCTCCGAGAACAATTTCCTCATCATCAGAAACCGTGTCCTCTCTTAAGCTACTATCTGAATCTTTTTGACCAATATCATGAGCAACTAGCCGAATGATCAGATCTTTTTTGTTATTAATATCTTTCAAAAGTTCTACTCTGGTGATATCAGGCCTTCTTACATTTTGAAATGAATTTCTGCCAACAGCCTAGAATTGAAAGTACAATAAATATTTAGAAAAATATATTAGTCACTTTTCTGTTATTACTTTGTATCATAATTCTTATTTATGATTCCTAACTTTAATCTAAATATATCTTCAAATATCATTACTACTATATTTTAACTATCTTAAAAGAATGATAAAAATTACGTGAAATGTTTGTTTGTATATGCCATTATTTTTACATTTGACATAATATAAATCTATCATAATTTACCCCAAATATTCAGTCTAATAGAATGGCTTAAGCTTTGTATTTTATTTTAAAATGAACTTACTGTTTTTGATTTTTTGTTGTTTCTCATAAAAATTGTTGTAGAACTACTTGTATTTTTATGTAGTCAATAAGGAACTCTATAAAAATCTAGACATTGTTTTTCTTTTTTTTGGAAGAAAGGTCAAGATTTTATAAGTATACCCAATTCTACTAATAAAAGTAATGTTACATTGGAATTGTGATCTTTAAACTACCTTTTTTAAAAACTTAATAATATCATCTTTTTTTGTTTTTTGCAAAAACATATGTAATCTTCATTTCTTTCTCATACTCCACTCAAATTTTCTCATTTAAAACTTTATTATTATAGATAAATCCAAGAAATTGTAACTCTAATTCAATAACCAAGTCACTTTATTTCTGTAGCCTTTGGCTATATCACAGTAATTGTTTTAATCATTAATTAACATTTTATTATTATTTTATTATTAATTATAATTATTGTTTGACTCAATATTTCTTTGCAAATTTCCAAGCTATATTTTCAAGTGATAATGTCTTAAAAGTATCTTCTGTAGAAATTAACTATTTAGAAACAACTCTTTAAATAATCAAAGCAACTTGAGTATATGTAAAAAATTAGTAAGGTTAGAAAAAACAAACATATGTAATGTATGTTGGGGATTTGTTACTGAAAGTGTTTTAAATATATCTCATTAGTAGCTAAATACAGCATCTCTAAGCAGAATGTCAAACCATGAGGCAAAGCCAAGAGCTTAAAGTACTTCACCTTCCCTACAGGTTTTTATTTTATTGTTTGTTCATCTCTTTGCTGAAAATAGAGTTGATTATATTTAATGTGGCACATGAGATTTTCGTGCTCTGCCTTCTGGTTGTTTATTATTATTGCTGTTGTTTCTATTATTAGTAGTATCAAATGGAATTTTCTTCCCTTACAAAAGAAAGTGGTATTTGTGTTTAATCACTGTTTCTGTGGCTCATTTGTGACCTAAATAAAGTCGGTAACAATGAAAGGAAATTGTTATGGATGGTTTAATAATTGCATTTTATTTTAGTAATATTATTTTATAGGACATTCACACAAAGTACACTCTGAAGGAATTGTTTATTTATAAATGAATACTACACACAACATATGCTAATGTAGCAATGAGCACTCAGGAGAGGAAATTTCAAACTTGAAGGGACTATCATATGTTCTTAAAAAATAAAAAAAAATGAGATTACAGTGAAGGGTTAATAGAATTTTCACTTCTAGCAGACTAGCAGTAAAATAGAGCCAGGAGAGCAGGTAGTTCTGGGGCTTTGTGTTCCAGAAACTTGGCTGACCACAAGGTGGATGATATAGTTGAATAAAATTGAGTTCTTATGAACAGGGTGTTTCCCCCATGCTATGACCGTTTCTTGAACCCTGTTACATCTGTCATACGCTGAATTGTATATGCTGAATAATGGGTTGGAACTTTCCATTGTATTATCTGCTGGAATTTTCCACCGACCCTTCTCACTTTCTGGTTTGTGTTTTTTTTCCTTTAAATATCCTACACTCCCCTAGCTAGGGGTCGAGCTCCTCTGCGTGGGGTATGGGACCTGGCCTCAGCGCGCTGATTGAAATATACCTCTTGTTGATTGCAACAAGATCGGTGTCTCATGAGTCATTGGGTGGCTGTGATCTCCTGTGGTCTGAGTGGGGGCCTTCTCGGGGCCTTTCAACAGGAGTATAAGTGCACAACAATTTTAGTATTTCAGTTAGAAAACAAACCATAAACCTGCAATTTTACCACCAAGAGGCAGAGATATGGTAGTCAGAGCGAGCTAGAGGGAGCCTGGGTTAAATTTTTCAGATACATGAACAAATATTTGTTCATCTCACAGAGAGCACAGAGATAGACTACAAAATATAATACAAACAAACAAAAAACATACACAATTATATCCAACTCCAGCTTATGAGTTTCGCAGAAACAAGGGATTCTATTTGAGGCTATTTACAAGAATATGAGTGAGAGATTAGTGCGATTTGGTGAGGATATAGAAGGGGACAGTAGCCAAAGACAGCTTTATTAGCATAAATCCTAACCCAGCATGGATGATGGCTGACTACATGTGTTCTCTGAGCTCCCTGTACAACAACATCCAGGCAGTTTCCCTCTTTCTCATAGTTGTTACTGCTGCAATAACTCTGAGGAGAATCTTGTGAATCTTATGACCATCAGGAATTTCCTGAGACTTTAAATTTTATTTAATCCTTGAGTCATATCTCTGTCTAAAAGGGAATGTTATATTTTTGAAGAAATAGCTAAATATCTCCAGCCTTAATAGTGAGTTCCAGGTTGATCAGGGCTATATAGTGGTTATGTCTTTAACTCAACAATCATCAATCATTCAATCCATCGCTAATTAACTTATTAGTTAATGGACTTTTAACTAACTTATTTTTAAATAATTAACTAATTATTTAATAGCTAGCTAATTATTAAGCATTAAGATTTAATTCAGAGATTTTCAGAATCATATTGGAAACAATTGAAGTGTTTATACTTCAGAGAATATAGTTTTATACTTGGGTCAGTGACATGGCACAGATTGCGCCCTTAATAAAAACACAGAACTCTCAAAAATTCACACAATCAATGTGAAGAGTTTAAATAGAACCCCCATTCCAGGAATGTGTTACATTTTATTGAGCTGATGATCAAAGGGGTCCTACAAAACCCACAAAACATCATAAGCTATTGATAAGGCAATTGGTTACTCTCCATAACCTGACAGTAAATTACTATTGCTCTAGATACCACAAATGTATGTTCTCAAATATAAAGAAATGCAGCTGGAGCCTAAACAGAGCCTCATGTCTTTATCAAACCCCTACCCTCAAGTCCCAGGGATCTATGGAGAAGAGGAGAAGGGAAGACTGTAAGAGTCACAGATGGTGGATGATTACCAGGAAACACTATCTTCTAGACAAAACACAGGGCTTTTATGCACATGTACAGAGAAGGTGACTACATGCACAAGACTTGTACAAGTTCAAACCAAACAAAATTCCAGCAGTGAGAAGAGATGGGGGCCACAAAGTACTGCCTGTAAGCAAGAAGCCTTTTGTAATAACAACATACTGGAAAGGGAAAATCAGTTTTCTCTAAAGGAGTATCCCTAGATATATCAACCACACTCCAGGGCAGGCCCCGTGCCCAGGAATAATTGACCTATAAAAGCTGAACTCTCTATATTTTTGTGTGCTTTTTAGTTTGTTTTTTCTTTTGGTTTCTTTTCTGTTTATTTTGATATTCTTTCTTTCTTTTTTCTAAGAAGGGATATGTAAAAGAGAGTTCTGTTGTGCCTTTACACACATGTTCTTATAAATATCCAATTAAATTATATTTGCATCAGCCCAGTGTTAATAAGGATACGTATATTTCCATGCCTCAAAGACCAATTTTAGTGTATTATCTCATAAAAACTAGCGTTAGGTCTTTTCTGTGAAATATGGTTATGGCAAACCTTTGAAAATCACGAGTGTAGAAATGAACTGATGTAGCTAATTCACAAAATAACAAGCATGGCTATCCATGTATCTAGGAGAGAGAGGAACTCACAGAACTGGCTTGCTATTTGCTCATTTTCCCCATTGCTGTGACTCTTACCTCTAAGGGTTTCACATCAAGTCGCCCAGTTCTGTCCAATGAGATGCGTCTCGCCTTCTGTCTCGTTCCTATTTCAGACACATCTGTGGAAGAGTGACCTTTGCCACTTATGGAAGCTCTCCTCAGCTCTGCTATACTACATCCAGTCCTCTTTATGCAGTCCATCTTAAGTGTCTCCAGAGGCTGAGTCTTCATAGAAATCACTGCTAAGTGTTCTGAGACGATATTTGGATCGATTTTCATTGGTTTATTCCTGACATGTGGAATTATTTTAACTGGAAGTTCATCTTCTAATGCATCCTCGGACTCCTTGTCTGAGTCAGAGCTCCTTAGTGCAGCATGCTTTTGTGCCTTTTCAATGATCCTGTTTGTGTCTAAATCTCCAAAGGCAGCAGTGTAAGAACTCTCTGTGCTAACTCTACACGATGGGACACTGGAAACTCCATCAACAATTAAGCTAGCTACCTTCTTAGGGAAGGCCTTCTTTGTACTTTTCATATCATAGAGTTCATTCTGGCTTCCAGATTGCTTTATTATATTACTGTAAACAGACTCAACAACCCGAGAAATCACTTCAATGTTTTCTTGGTCTAAAGATTGTTCTTCATGATTCGAATCCACAAGACTAATGTTACTTTTGGAAATTTCAGCTGTTACAGATTTTGTCAACTGTGATGCAATTTTATTTAACTCAGGCTTTGTTAAACTGTTTGTGTCTTTGCTTGCAGGACCAGGTGTATTTACTAATTTAGCCAAGAACAAGGCCAAAGCTTCCTCTAAAACTCTGGAGTCTAACATTACATCCTTAATGGATGCGGGTTTTTCCTGGGTCTTAAGTTCATCAATAATTTTCACCACCTTTTCCATAATCTTGACAGCTTCTAGAGCTAACTCTGAACTTGAAAGTTCCTCTTCTGCTTGAGGTTGAAATTCAGAATTGGAAATCTCCTTTACCATTGAAAAACCTATTATGTCAGAAAGGACATCACTCTTTCCCATTAAATCTTCAAATACAGATGTAGGGGAGCCAGAGTGTTTCAAAACGTTGCCATAAACAGAATTAACTACTTTGTCAATAGTTGCCTTGTCAGCTGAAGGCACAGCTTCTGATTCCTTAGCAGGTTGTACAACTTTGATTTTACTCTTGGAGAAAAATTCTTGGATTGAATTTAATATTTTTGAGGTTATTTTTCGCATTTCAGTTTCTTGAGATTTAGTTCTTTCTGGAGGGCCTTTTGGAAATACAGATAAAAGCTTTGATAAGAACTTTACAGCAATTGTTTCTATTATGTTATAAGATAGTTTACGAGGAGTTGATGACTGTGAGGGAGTAGTTAAGATAACACTGGTGAGGATATTTTCAACAACATTGTCGACCTCCGCACACTGATTCGGAGTCAGCTCACCACCAAAATAGTTCTGCAACTGGTTGCCAGTCACTTCCCGTAGAACTAAGTCAACTATGGTTTTTGAAAGGAGTTTACATCCACTAATTATACATTTTTGTAAGATTTCCTGTGATCCAAACTGTGGCAAAAGATTATTATAAATTGTCTGAACAACCGGTTGAACAATTTCATCATCATTTGGTTGCAAGGCTTCTACATACTGTATAATCAAATCTTCATTTTTGGAAATCTCTGCTGCAATTGTTTTTACTAAATTCATTTGAAGGAAGTCAAGTTGTGTCAACACATTTTCTGGAGTTAGTTTTGTTTTGACATTGGATAGTTTTGAAAAGACTTTTGCTAAAAGACCAGAAGTCACATCCTCTAAAAATTTGTAAGGCAACTGTATGGTATAGGGAGATGAGGTCTGACATTCTTTACTGACTGACTGCACCACATTTTGGACCTTCTTCTCCACATCTTTTGATTCCAGAGGCACACATGCTGAAGCTGGTACCTCATCAGAAAATATCAAGTTAAGCTGATGCTGAAAAATTTCATTTATCACTGTACTAGTTAGCCTTTTTGCTAGAATCTCCCCATTACTGTTGATGTTTTCGCAAATAGACTCTTGAGATTTACACTCCTTTAAAACATTGCAAACACAAGAGTGAACAATTTTATTGACTATTGATTTTTCAATTGATGGTATTCTCTCTATGGAAGGCAACTTCTCAGAAAAGGACTGTTCTGGTGTTTTCTGCACCTGTGTCATTTTATCTTCATTTTTAATATTCGTGCTGGATGATGGCTTTTTTATAGTTGTTTCTTTAACCTCAGGAGGCGCTGTATGAGCTGACTCTTTGGCTGCTTGTGAGAGTGCCTCATTTTCTTTATCTGGCCTAAAAACTTTAATTTCTGCATCTGAAAACTCCTTCATCATTGAATCGACAAGTCTCATCGCTGTGTCATAAAGTTCACCTGGCTTTCGATCATTTGTGTCTGTAGTCTTATCACACTTTTCTGTTTCTGGTAAAGATGTAAATACTAGTTTGTTCACCAGTTCAGTGATCACATCTTCTAGAAACTTGGCAGGAACAATTTTAGGTTGACTTTCTGATGAGGACTTAGGATGCTCTGTAGTACTAGGCTTACTTTTAATGTCTTTCAATCTTTTGGTCTCACTCTCCTCTCTTCTACTTTTAGTTTTTGTTTCTTCACTTGGTTTCTCTTTAGTAGTGATGTCTTTTTTGTGAACTGATGAGGATAAATCCTTTGTTGTAACATGCTGTGCAGAATCTTGAAGTATAACCAATGCTTTATCACTTATGCGGCTTCTGCTGTATATTGGTCTGGCAAAATCCAATGGGTCTTGAGAAGATATTATAAAAACATTGTCATAAATATTTTCAATGACATTTTCAACACGTTCAATTTCTGAGTACGATTCTTCCTCTATGTCAGTTGCCGCTACAGACTGTCTCCTTTCTTCCTTGACTGGCTGTTGGGGTATTAGTACATTTTTTTCTGTCATGGTCTCTTTGTTCTTTCTTTTGGGCTTGTCATCTGTTTTTACTGAACTTTTACTGACATCAATCTTCTTTTCATTTTGTATTTTGAAATCTGTTCTAAGTACCTCCTTCTCAGGACTGTTTTCAACAGTTGTAGCAACTGCATAATGGGTGAATATTTCAAGAATCTGCCCCTGCTCATTGACTAGTACTAAGTTCTCCTTCCCAGTTTCACTACTTTTACATTTGTCCCTCAAATATTTCACCTGAGCACCTCTGCCTTTCATGGTGGTGGGTGAAGATTTAGCTGGATGTTGCACCTGAGCACCTCTGCCTTTCATGGTGGTGGGTGGAGACATAGCTGAATGTTGCACCTGAGCA